CACGTGTATATGAATGTGCACTGATAGGCTGAGAATGTTTGCAGCTTAAAATTACATGGAATAGTCATGACTGTCTATGGCAGGAGACCGTTCAGAGGCCTGCAACAGAAGCAGGATCATCCCTCGTCCCAACAGCATTTGACGAAGTTGGCAGACGCATGGCTGCACCGGTCTCACTGCAATCGCTTCTGCCACTTCTGCTGCCTATAGAAATTCTGGGAGCTGTTGCAAGATCTGCTGCATTAATCCTCAGTCCAGACACCAACGTTAGGAGAACTGTGAATATCCGAAACATGCAGAGATATTTATTTTCTGGAATAGGATACTGAACTGAATGGCAGAAACCTAAAAAAAAAAAAAAAACTTTGTGGCCTGTAGTCCGCAAGCGAACTATACCGACCGAGCGACCGTCGCTTGTCGGAGAAGTTTAGTGCCAACTTTTGCGGGTATAGGGTGTCACGTGGTCAGCGCAACGAATCCCCACGGCCGTTAATCTCGGGTTTCTAAACCGGAGCCATCATTTCCTTGAAATAGCTCCTCAGTTATCCTCACGAGGCTGAGTGGACCCCGTTCCAGACCCACTACTTCTCAGGAAATCTAGTAGCGCCGGGAATCGAACCCGGGACCTCTGGATCTGTAGGCAGGAACTCTGATCACTAGACCACAGACAAACCATCTCCCGACTTTAATTTGCCCTTAATATCTTCCTGAATGCAATTTCGATTTCTTGTTATCGTTTCCATGTATTTTAATTCTTCATAAATCCGATAGACATTATAATTAACCCTAATATGACTTTATTCTAAATTTTAATAATAAGGCAATGCTGAGTTAAATCTTGTAAAGCAGCTGTTCCGAAGTGGGAGCCCCCCCCCCGTGGAGCCATGAAGCTGTTACCAGTGAGCTGGAAACAATGGACCGATAAAATGGCGCTTAATTCGTTTTGAACCTAAACGGTGACATTAAATTACAAACATGCCTACAGTTTATTAGAGAAAATACTTCCTATATAATATTAAGGTGCATCACTAATAATATGTTTCAGACTGCTTAATCACATTTTATGTCAGTTGTGTATACCTCGGTCGGTATAGTTCGCATGCGGACTAAAACCACGGAGTTTGTTTTTGTTTTGTTTTGTGTATATTGAGGGGTCTCACACTTGCTTCATTCTAGACGTGAGGATAGCCCCTAGAGAGTCAGAACACGTAAATCAAGGTAAAGCTATCCCTGTAACAGGCTGTGAAGGCCCATACGATTTTGAGGCGTCGAGGTTCCCACATTTTCTAGAAAATCGGCGGCGAGGTTGTCAGCCTTACGCGCCGGCCGCCCTGTACCCCCGGGAAGATTCCTGGTACTCATTTCTGTTAGCGGCTGAGTCGATCTCAGGGCCATAGTGCGGCTGAAAATTGTAGTGACCTCATCGGGATTCGAACCTGCAGCCTTCCGGCTTGTAGCATAGTTCCTCAACCAACTACTCTATCGCGTGCCACCGTCAATACGTGTAAGGCAAGATAATAACAAAGAGGGACAAATAAACTGACAATATATATATATATATGTATATTCAGTAGCTGAATTTACTTACAATCATTGAACACCTAGTGATGGTTGCATATGTTAGGAATTACATTCACCACGGTTGTTTACTAAAGCTCCCTTTTCTAAATCCCGTTTGTCAGACATGTTTGGGAGAAAGAGAATTGAATACAAACCAGACATAAACAGAGGGTACCGCTATCCAGAGCTTCACTCTCACAGTGATTTTTAAACCGAGCTCTCTAGCCCAAACAGACTTTGTATAATCAATTACACATTGAGAGGGTAGGGCTAAGACACTCATAATTTTCTTTATTAAAGGCAGCTACCTTAATTTTACGGCGTTCTAAAGTTCACCAATAATTCATTTCTTTATTTTGCAATTTCATAGTTTCAGGGAAGGCAGAAGTATTGAAGTTCAAAATAAAAGAATCTTTCTGTTTCTTTTTTCCAAAATAATTTACATTAACACAGGAAGAAGCAAGAAAGAAACAGATGGACACTCCTTCTGACTGAACTATAGGGCACTGTGTACTAAACACTGTGCAGTAGCTCACTGACTGAAGATCTTATAAGCATACTTTTCCCCTTAAGAAAAGAAAGTAAACTGAAAACGTTAGGAAGTGACAGCTGGAATTCCAGAGAGGCAGAGGCATATGGAAATTTTCTCTTCACCATCCTGTCTGTGCCCTCCCAGTCTCGTGCGGGGAGAGTTTTCCTCTGGCAGAAGCATATAGACATATCACCACCATTGAGCACTGATCCCACAGTATCCAAGCGTTAAATACCTCGGAATCCATAGTGATAGTAGACTCACTTGGAAAGACCACGTAATCAAAAAACGCAAACAGATAGACCTAAAAGCCAAGGAGCTAAACTGGTTAATTGGAAGAAGATCCAACCTATCCATAGAAAACAAAGTCCTGCTTTATAAGACAATAATCAAACCAATCTGGGCTTACGGAATTGAGCTCTGGGGTTGTGCCAGCAAATTAAATATATCAATAATCCAGAGAAGCCAATCAAAAATACTTCGAATTATAATAAATGCACCCTGGTATGTAAGCAACCAAACGTTACATACAGACCTAAATATACCATACATCAAGGACGTTATCAGAGGGAAAAGTACCTCACGCCACAACAAACTAGCAAATCACCCAAACGACATCCAACAGCCACTCGTTGAACCGCAGCACAATCGAAGACTCCGAAGAGTCTTAACCTGACCTAAAAGAAAACTAATGAGGAACCTCCCACTGGGAAAGGGACTCACCACGTCATTAAAGAGCATCACAGCTCTTACGCCAGCAAACTAGCTTATAGAATTATAGATTCTAATTGCTTAATAAATAAATGAATATAAAAAATCATTGAGCACTGAGGTGGAAGTCTGCTTCTGAGTAAGGCTCCACTGTTTCATCCTTGAGAAATCTGTAATCTTAACATGAAAATCTTCGTTGCAATCATGCGATAACTGTTCTACTGACAATAATGAATCAGCCTTAGATAGATGTCATATTTATATTCTATGTAACACACTGTGGGAACTGCCCACATTCAAGCAAGTGTGACAACGCAAGCGTCATTGCCTAGCAACCGTTGTTTACAAAGCTCTAAACAAGTAGGCCGCTCCATAGCTCAAACGGTTAGTCGCTGGCTTCCCACCGCAGCGGCCCGGGTTCGATCCCGGGTCTGGTTAAGTGGGATTTGTGGCGGACAAAGTGGCGCTGGGGCAGATTTTCTCCGAGTACTTCGGTTTCCCCTGCCACTCTTCATTCCATCCATTGCTCCACAATCACCCTCACCCATCATCTGGGGCTGGTACAATAGGCCAGAAGTGGCTGCAGTACAAGGGACTTAAAAAAAGTTCCAAACAAACATTGTGGACACACTAATAATAATCTGTCCCTGACATTTCATATGTTTTGTGGCATGCGGTAGCATAATTGGTTGAGGCACTATGCTATAATCTGGAAGGTCTTGGGTTCGAGTCCTGTTGAGGTGGATTTTTTTCATTTTACCTAAGCCTTCCAGCGGCACTATGGCTCTAGGGTCGACTTAGCCTCTAACAGAAGTGAGTATCAGCAATCTTCCTTGGGCGTAAAGGACGGCCGCAACGTACAGCTGACAACCTTATCGCCATCTGTGAGTTGATCCTCTAGAGCAGGGGTCTCCAAACTTTTTGAAACGCGGGCCACATTAGGTAATTCAGCACTTTCAACGGGCCGGATAAAATGAGAAATTAATAACTCTAGGTATATGAGTTTTATTGAAAGCACAGAATTTCATAAACTAAATACAAAGTACGCCAGAATAAATTATCGTATATTAATGACAACAGACAATAGCAGGAAATGCTCATATTTTCATCACAAATTATAATAAAACAATGTGAATGATGGAACTCTTTTTGCATTCTTAAAATCTGATTAAATTGAGGTGATGATGATCTGTTACAATTACACTGCACCACTGCAAGAAGTCTTGTGCACAAGACGGCTAGTAACGAACTGCTCACGCTACCTACATTGCCACGAAGTGACACTGCCGATCGAGGCCGAACAAGTACGAAGAAATACCGCGCAGAATACGGTCCAGAATTAGTAAAATTGTGAATAATATTAATATTAACATAATATGGAATATCGATGTATTTTAAACACAATTTTAATTAATGAATTTGAAATCCATGAACAAGTTTTTTTTTACCAGTACTCGTTGGAAAATTAGTTCAACTGGCGCATTTCTGCACAATTCTTTCGCGGGCCGTAGTATGGAGACCCTTGTTCTAGAGTAAATATGTAAGCCTCGATGTCCCGCAACCCTATGTGTCTTCACAGCCTGTTACAAGGATAGCTTTAATTTTCTTACCTTGATTCATCATTGTGGAGTTGGAAAATGCAATATTGTGGTTACCAGTTTGCTTTTCTTCTTCTTCTTCTTCTTCTTCTTCTTCTTCTTCTTCTTCTTCTTCTTCTTCTTCTTCTCCTCCTCCTCCTCCTCCTTCTTCTTCTTCTTCTTCTTCATCATATGGAACTTGGATTGTATGTGGTCTTTCAAATGAAATTATAGTCCGTATACTTAGTCACATTGCATTGGAACAGGGCTTAATAAATGTGGTTGAAAAACTGCCCAAAAAATTAGATGTTGTTAGAGTCTGAAGGTTTTACTCAGCTGTAGGCAAAATGTTGTAAAAGAAATGGATACCATAATCTATGAGCACTCATGGTAGATGAAATCTAAAAAGACAATCTGTCTGTAAACAGACTACCAGAATTGCATGTTAAGAAGTGCTCATAGGAGAGATTTTTAAATGCATTAGTTATGTCCCATTTCAAGTGTTTGTATGGAATGCAGTCGTAGTCATGGAAAATATTTCGCCTTTGTACACAAAATAGTCCTATGAATCTAATACGGATTTGAAAGACATGAGAGTCTGAATTTTACCGTAATTTCAGAGCAAGCAAAGTCCAGTAGAAGAGCTTCTTCGCCAAGCAGACCAACTGATCTCTACACAGAAACCTCGGGCTGAAGTTTATGCTGCGATGGCTGAATCTCTAGGTCTGGCTTGGAAAGATGTGAACTCACATTTGGAACAAAGAAAACTCATCCTTGATCTCAATGTTGCATATCAGAGGTAAATGGTGTCTTTGTGATTGGTTGCTAACTCTAATATGTTATGTGCAATACCATGGTTTACCTCATCATTCAGCAACATTCTTTTAAGATTCACAACTACAAGGGCTGAATATTACTGCTAGGTTGTCTGACCGGTCTGAGAAAGTAAACTTGAATCAGCATGTGGGCAACACGGAAAACATGAATCAGTTTTGCCTCACTAACAGGGCGTGCCCTATAATATTATGGTGTCTCTGAGGTAGCAGTGACCCAGAATTTCCAGAAACAAATTTCCTGCACCAAGCATGTAGGGCCTACTATAAATATATTAAGCCCTCAGGACTGGGAATTATGAATTTGGATTTCTTGGGAAAGGAAAAGCTATCGCATTAAGCATTGGCTAATAATGAAATGTTTAGAGTTTTAGAAATGTTATTGTCTATAGTGTCTGTGCTAAAGCCTCAAATGAATGTTTGCAAGAGGGTTTGTCTATTGAACCTTGTTAGAAATAAATTCAGATCATCAACGCAAGATGAATGTTAAGTGACTTGCTGATGATCAAACTGAATAGCCCAGTTGTGGACCAGTACCAAAATAGAAAGGCCTATGCAGGGCCACAAGAAATCACATGATAAGTAGTGGGAGTGGATGGTATATTTGTTTGTCATTTTCATTAATATTATCTTGTGTGACTCAAATTTGCCTAACGTTCTTGTCTGTGATTTTTGTATATTAAATATAATTTTATAACATGTATTAAGCGGCCTCTGTAGTCTAGAGGTAACGTTCCCACCTCATGACTCGTAGTACGCGGGTTGAAATACCCAGTGGAGGTCGTTGAATTTTTAAGGGCGGAAAAATTCAGGGAACAAGTCCTCCGGGAGGGATTTTAAGCCATGGGTCCCATGTCGTAGCTTTACGGCATGCAAAAGAACCGCATACCTCCAAAGGAGGTCACTGAGCAAAATTGCGGACGTTTGCCGCCCAACAGCAGTCACTAATACCTCTGGTAGATGGGGGAAGCATTATAGATACTTCTCAGCTAGTAGAGCCGGTCTCGCTGGCTGGGTGGGACTGATGGTAAGCACCAATACCGGTAGGATATAGAGGCTGGTAGAAATCATAGAGGGAAGCACAGTGGACCACTACAGGTCTAAGTGCATGGGGAAACCCACCCTTTCTAATAACTAACAACTATCTAACATGTATTAGTGTCCTGTTAGATTATTTTGTTTATTTCATTTTACTTTACTTTACTCTTTATCTTATTTTACCATTCCATGCTTTTAGAACATAAAATCATGAGATCAAAAAGTCTTCCTTTATCCAAAGTTTTGGGGTTGACTTCTAGATCCAAAGGAAATTGTCAAGTCCTGGTTATAATATTCACAGTGTGATGTCCCATTGTATGAAAATAGTGATTTCATTTAAGGAAGTTGTATTTATTTTAAAACACTCATACTCATAAAGGTAAGTGTCCCTTGGTTTTCATTTTTGTCATCATTGCCAGTATTAGGCCCAGCAGACCTTATACAAGCAGCCAATTATTATTTTAGAAGGAAAGTTTCCAGTATGCAGATGTAGAAAGGGGAATGGTATTTTCTGTCAAAATGGATAAGCTGAAAGTTCGAAAATTGTATCCTTATTTTATCCATGTTCCATTTTTTGCAACGTTTTTTTGGTGGGTGAAATTGCTAAGGAAAGGTCTTGGTATGCTGTACCTGTGTATACTTCCAGAAGGAAAATCTTTGTTATGAGTATTACTTTTCATATCTTTCCATATTTTCTGAAATTCTACTAAGTAGTTGTCTTTACAGTAGTCATTAATTTTTCATTTGTTAGGGAATCCTGTTAGAACACATTTTAACATGTCTTTCTACAGTGCTGTAGTCTATTCACGAAGTTTGTAATTCTCTTGTGTTACTGCAGAGGAAAGTCTTAAAACTTATTTCTGATTGTAATTGACATAACCTAATTATCGTACTGCACAGGCGAGCTGAGGACTGTGTTGATAGAATGAGAGCATTGGAGATTGCTTGTCAGGACCCTGCCTTGCCAGTGGAGATAGATGCTGTGAAGCAGCTACTCACAAAACTGCATGATTTGAAAAGACTGATGCTTGAATCTCTGATGGCTTCATTGCAAGATGGCAAGCTACTTCTGGAAAAGCTGAGGGAACTATCCACTGAGGGAACACTGGATTCTAGGCCGGACCATATTAAGACATCTGCAGAACAAGGTAGACACCTGAGTGAATCCTCATACAACATGAGAATCAAGCAATTTCAAGGCTACTGTATTCATCTAACCTTAATATTTATACCATGTGCTGTATGTTAAATTCCACAGTAATTATTCATTTAAAGTTTTGTTTTCTTTTTCTGGAAGTTTACTTGTATGTTACTTGTACTCATATTTAGTTATAGCTTGTTTCATATGTCACTGATGCTGATTAAAATTTTTTGAAACATATCTTGATTGAATTGAAACTTGACTGGATAAAAATACAGCGCTACTTGAAGCTTTGTGTTTTTGTGAAGTTTTGTTTGAGAGGAGTCCAGCTTCTCTGTTCAGATTGGGAATTATATATGAATATGCTTGTAGATAGAGCAGAGTAATAGTGCTTCAAAAGTTGTTATTGAAAAACAATGGATTCAACCCTGACTATTATATTTGTCTTTCAGCTGTGTCTCAGGTTGAACACTGGTTAGAAAATCTTCATGACCGTCGAAAACTGCTGGAGATTGCTTGGCAAAGTCGTAAAACACACCTGGAACAGTGTCTGGCTCTGGCATTGCTTGCCAGTGATTTAAAAGGACTGGAAGAAATACTGATAATTCGTAAGGAAGCTGTAACAAGTGTTAGTGATCAGCTGGGTAATTCATCAGCCAGTGCTGAGCTTTTACTGCATGAACATAAGAAGCTGTTACCAGAAGCAAAGGTAAATGCAGTAATTTCTTTGTAGTTAGCTGAATGTTAGGTTCATATACATCAACATATGAAATTATCATATATTTAAAATGTGCACAAATACTCTTCTTATCATAGCGTGTGGAGATCTTGTGTTTAGTGACATGCATGTTCATGTGGTTATGGTTCTGTAATGAAACTTCCCAAGGACACATGCATGGGAAGCTCATATCGCCCATAATCTCTCAGAAAAGGGAACCATAGCCTTGAGCTCTGCCACTGAGTCTGGTATATTTGGAAATAGTTTTTTAATGCATCTCCAAAGAGAGATGTTAAAGGAACTAATATGCTGGCTGTTGGATGGCCAGATTTCTCCATATGCATGATGATTAGGATACTGTCCAGAAATCACTTGTGGGGTCAAAGGATTCATGACAATATTCACTGTAAATTTTGTAGACCCAGTCTGCATTATGTGTTTTTCAGTAAACCAGCTGCAGCAAGTTGAGTCATAGAACTATCATACATTATGTACAGGTACTGTCAGAATTCACAGTCTTGTCAAAAGAAAGTGGTTTGATTAGCCCATGATTTGGTATGACAGCCACTCTGTAATCTTGGATGCGTAGTGAACATTTTCAGTGAATACATGCAAATTTCCCACAGCCTAGGGATGTTTATATTGTTCTTTGTTAATGATTTTGTTTGCCTTATCTGAAAACCACATGTTTTGTGCTCTTTGGTGTTTAATCCTGGCTGGGAAACCAAGTATGTTGCCGATCAGGAACACTACACTTAATCTGCATGGGTACATGTGCAAATCTCAGCATAGGATCAACTGAATGAATGTCTACACATCACTAAATCTGTTGTCACATTCCTACTTGATTTTCCCAGGCTTCATCACAGTCAAACTCTGACAGAACTGATGTTCTAGGTCAGTGTTTCTCAACAACTGAGCCCTCGTCTTATAAAAAAGTATTTAGTGGGCCGTGGTCTCACAGAGGTTGAGAACCGCTGTTCTAAGTAGTACACACCTTGCAGAATGAGGTATTCTGTTATGTCTTCAAGCTGTAATATGTAGACACTTTTGAACAGAATTTGTCAGAGAGTAAATAGAATGTTGTGATTCAGAAAATATGGTTCTTGCAGCTATGTACCTACCTGGAAACCATATTCATATGTACTAAACGGGTTATACTGATCTAAAACTGACCTAACATAACTCACTCACTCACAGAGCTGATCCCTTCTTGAGAAGCCGCCAATTGTGCAGCTACTTAAGAACTTCCCAGCATTTTATGGAACCCAAAGGCTCATTACCACGCTCACAAGAGCCCTCCACTGATCCTTATCCTCAGCCAGATCGATCCAGTCCATACCATCCCATCTTAGCTCTCTAAGAACCATTTTAATATTGTCCACCCACCTACGTCATGGTCTTCCTAGTAGTTTCTTTCCTTCTGACTTTCACACCAATATGGTACATGCATTCCCTTCACCCCCATTTGTCTTACATACCCTCCCCGTCTCATCCTCCTTGACTTGATCATTCTCATTATAGTTGGAGAAGAGTACACATTATGCAGCTCCTCATTATGTAGTTTTCTCCAACCTCCCATCACTTCATCTCTCTTTGATCCAAATATTCTCCTTAGCTACCTGTTCTCAAACACCCTCAGTCTTATGTTCCTTCCTTAATGTCAGAGACCAAGTTTCATGCCCATATGGAACCAGACCTAACATAAACTAATTTTAAATAATATAATATCTTCTGTAGTGGATGCAGTGGCTATTCTGCCATATTTTTGTCGCCTGTAGAAGACTGGTGGCCCGTAGTAATGTGGTAATGGTATTATCAGAGTATTATAGTACAAGTTACAGCTTTGTTCAACCTTCTTCAACCAAGTCAAACTTTACTAACCATTATGTTGACTGAATAAGTTGCTTGTTTTGTTTTGCCAAATTTAAATGTGCATTTTTGGTAAATATGAAGTGTGACTTCCATTTCTTTAAGCTTGATTGACTTTTGCTGTTATTAGTCTGCTACAAAGGTCTGCAGTAAGTGTTGCAAAGCATATAGTTCTTATCAAGTAACCTTGAATGCAAAGTTCATTTTTTTTTCTTCTTTTCCATTCATAATGGACAGGGCTATGAATATCATCAGAATCGTTAGCACTGCACAAACCAGGAGGTTCAACTCCACAGTGTTGCTTCTTATTTGTTAAGTATTCTTAGGATTGTGCATAGTTATGGCTACTGCCTGTATAAGGTCTGTATAAAGGTGCGGCCACACAGCGCTATGTACGCGACACCAATGTGACTGGCCACACAGACTTCCGTATGCTATGTACGCTATGTTCGCTATCTTAGCTGCGTGTTTGATTCTGGGCTATATTTTTAAAACGTCGCTCTGGACGGGCATGTGCACTGGGCTCACTTCCAGGTGTAAGTTGCGTGCCTCAGTAATTTCCCCACTCTAATTACAACATGTGTTACGTATCATTCAGTGCAGTATTCACTTAGATGAAAATGACACTGGAGGAATTAATTGAAGAAGTAAGGGAGTATCCATGTTTGTGGAACAAAGGGTTAGAAGAATATCAGAACCAGAACATGCGGGATAATGCCTGGTACATGATTTCTGGAGAATTGAATACACCAGGTAATGTACAAACATTGTTCTTTTATCTATAAGTGGAGAACTTAAAATATTTTCGTCAACCCCATTCATTCGGAAATATTCTTTAAATTTAACTTCATCTTCACGTAACTGCTTTATCAGATGATGAAATTCACCAGACTTTGTTCTTCTTAAGTTCACGCCATGCACCCACTTCCTTTTGTGTTTACACAAGGAAAGTAACAGCAAAAGCTCATCGTCGGAATCATCGCTGCCCCCCCCAGAGCACACTATCGGCCAACATCTCCTTCAAGACTGAGCAGTTTCGTACCAAACATAGCTTTCTGTGTGGCCACGCGGTGCAGTGAACATAGCATACATAGCGAACATAGCATAGCGCTCTGTGCGGCCGCACCTTAAAGCCTGTACAGTATTAGACAGGCTGTTACTGGTATGAGGATAGGTAACATCTTCATCACACTCTCCTGTCATGGACAAGTACTGTTCTGGTATTTTCCCATCTGAATGACCCAATAATAGCAGCAGTAGCATCTGATGTCTGTCGAAGTGTGACCTGACTACCTGATTTATACTTTCTGTAATTTTGTCAAGCAGTTCATTTAAACGCCATTTGGAGACTGAGTGAAAGATTGTGGACTCATAGATTTTATGTAAATAACTTGTGTGGGATAAGCAGCAGGCACTGGCAGCAACTGATTTGCATCCAGCCTAGAAACTGACTCTGTTACATGTGTTCTTTGTGATTTTCCTCAGTCACTGCAGTTAAATTCCTTAATAGTAATCTAATACAAATGCTAGCTGATTTCACTAATATCACTTCAAATTTACTGGTTATGACTCGTTGCAGTGCTTAAAACCCCTAGAATGCTTATAACATTTGAAGTGTCATATGAATCACCCCAAATGATAAAGGGCATAAACTGAACCGTTGGTACAGTACTAAATATCCCTTCAGCCATCCCAATAAATAAATTAATCAGGCTTTGAAAATGTAATGTCTACAACGAAGGAAAACATCTGCTTTCAATATGTCATGTGTTTATGGCTTTGTGGCTAATAATACAGGGTTTTGGATTGGATTTATTAGCACCTTCTTGTACAATCACTCATAATCGCAATCAGTTACAATACCTCACAGTGAATCTTCAGCTGAACCCTTCTTCCTTGACTGCCGAGGACTCGCTCCATTCTCGTCTTCTTTTCTAGTCTTTCTTCCACTGTGACTGACTTGGCTTGAGTGACTTACTTCTTGGTTCACCATTCTACTGCAACTGCTGTGAACTATGGCTGACTTACGAATGAATTATGAATGATTGCTTTTTTATCTGAATGGCCACTTATGTAGTCTAGCAGTATACTAGGAGATGTTTGTTGCATGCTCATATCCATGGACATGTTTCTTGCTTCTGCAGCAATGACCTGGTTTCTAAGAGTCTACACCTTCCATTCGCGTATCTATCGACACACTTACTGTTTTCACATGAATGAGCTGGTTTGTGTCCAAAAATTATATTTCCATGGAAACATGTTTGCCCACTTTTGTCCTAGAAACGCCTATATATCACAGTATTTTCATGATGCATTACTGCAGCATGATTAGTTATCACTGCTTTGTGAAGAAATAGGGACAGAAGTTGGGAAAGAATGGATAACATCTGTGTTTAGGTCACAATTTCTAAATCTCACTATCATCAGATGATTAGAGTGTATAATTCATATCAGTTTATTACTGTTTTGTGTGCTTGAAACTGACGTTATATCGATATACTCAATTTTTAGGAGCTGCAAGATCGAGCCCTTAAGGTAACGAAGGCAACAGAGCAACTGGTAGCATCAGGACACTTTGCAGCAGAACAAGCCACTGCCCAAGCCTACAGTGTTCTGAACTTGAGTACTGAATATTTGGATGCGCTTGAACAGAGGGAATTACTGTTAACTCGTGCCATTGGATTCTTCCGCTCTGCTCACACTGTAAGTTGAAATATTTAGATTGTTGGACTAGAACAGTAAAGGAAGTAAATTTAAGTTGTTAGCTTTACATTATCTGAAGCACAATAGACCACTGTAGTTCATGGTGCAAGGGCCGAGAAGGCCTACCCCTCATACATTCATTCATTACATTATCTGGCTCAGGATAGGTACCAGTGGAAGTCTCTTGTGAACATGGTTATGAATCTTCAGGTTCCATAAAATGCTGGGAAGTTCTTTAGTAGCTGCACAGTTGGCTGCTTCTCAAGAAGGGTTCAGCTCCATTAGTGAATGAGCTTTAAATATCATTATCTGGATATAAGTTCTTCTCACACAGTTTTAACAACTAACATATACTTTATGAGTTCCTTGTGAATGAGGTACCAGATGGTTAATATAGTAGTAATGCTTTTATCTTAGGCACTGACGAAACTGGATCAGCTCGAAGTCCAGTTAACAACGACAAAGCTATCAGCTTCTTCACTACAGCTTATTCAACTCCATTCCCAAGTTTCAAAGTCATTAGATGAGATGACTTCAGCTCCCTTGCAGGAGGGCTACTCCCTCCTTGAAACTGTCTGTAGAGGGTCACCTGGAATAGAGGTAAATGTACACGTAGTTACTGTTTGGAACTGAGTCTCCAAGTAACCATCAACAATGTGTGCATGTGTGTGTATGTGTACTACTCGTATATACATATATATGTTGCAGTCAAAGACCACAGTCCAGTTGGTATGGCAACTAGGCTGTTCGCTGGACAACTGGTGTTTGGTTCCTGTGAAGGGCAAAGGGTTTTTCTCTTTTCCATAGCATCCATGCCAGCTGGTTCTCTGTTTCAAGGGCATTAAATTTACTTTTGTAGTAACATTGTTTACTCTAAGGAATTGGGAATCATGGTCTGAGAGGCCATTGACTATAGGAGTTTTACAAGAAGAACTTAACCTGTGGTGTTTGGGGTTATTGTGCCATAGAGGACGATAGATGTTTGTCAACTGGAAGAACATATTTCCACCTTTTCAGGGCATCATAACCCAGAAGACCACAATGCGAAAACATCCAGTAGTCTGGGAAAGCTATAGCTAGGTGACACACTCTGAAGATAGTTTGATCAGTCACCAAACTGAATTACTGTATATGAGAAAAGTGAATGGAAGAAAGAAAAAAATGTAGAGAGTATAAATGATCTTTGTAACCAGATGCTGATTTATTTGTTCAGGGAGTCAAGAACACTGTGGAGGAAATAGAAAACCGTAAAATCCATCTTGGTGAATTGTGTACAGCTCACAGGGAAGAGAATATACGCTTATCTCAGGCCTTCACTGCATTTCTTGAGAAACAAAATGAAGTGAGTTGTGGTAATGTAGAGTGTATTTTGCCATTTGAAATTCACCAGTTCAAGTAAATTGGTATAATCTGCCACTTCAGTAATTATTAAACCCACTTGCAGGATTAACACAGATATTCTCCAGTAAATTATTCATGTTACAGGAGAAAAGAGAACAGCTACAAGAAATAATATCTGAAGTTCACAGAATGGTAAAAATTGCAAACCGCCATAGGAAAATTATAGTCTTTGTATGTATATTTCATGTGTTTCTTTGATGCACACTTCTTGCAAGATTCAGTATTGGTCCTAGTTCATTTCATTTACAGAATGTTTCAGCACAGTAAAACAACTTTTAAGTTGTGTGTGCATTAATGATTAAATTCAGTAAAATTATTTGTAATTTGTTTTACAAGAAATGTGTCAGAAGTGGCTTCATCACCTTAAAATGCAAAAGGACATACATAAGAATTTGGACTCAGTGAACAGCATGATTCATTCAAGTTTGAAGTGAAAATTGTGTTGTTATACTCATTACTAGTAGTCGTGATATAATGCATGTCTGTGTTCATATTTTTGTGCAGAGGATAGTGTTGCGTTTTAATTGCATAACCTGTCTATTTTAATTGGAAGTCTGTAGAATGGACTTTTCATCTGTTGAAACTTATTTTTTATTATTTAATTTCTTTTGCCTCATCTGTTAAATTGTTTACAGTAAAAACAAGTAAAGGTATCCCTGTAACAGGCCGTGAAGGCCTATAGGGTTGTGAGATGTTGAGGTACCCACATTTTCTAGACAGTCGGCTCATAGATGGCAGTAAGGTTGTCAGCCTTACGCACTGACCGACCTTTACCCCCCAAGAATATTCCTATTCCTGGTACTCATTTCTGTTAAAGGCTGAGTCAACTCCAGGGCCATAGTGCGGCTGGAAGGATGAGGTAAATTAGAAAAAAAAGCCATCTCATCTGGATTCAATCCCACGACCTTCCAGCTTGTAGGATAGTACCTCGACCAACTATGCTACCGCATGCCCCCATTAAATTGTTTCAGACAATAAGATTCTGCTTGTGCTTCATTTCTGTCTTAGGAGTTATACATTTCTTGCTGCCACATCTAACACAACTGTAGGGTTCCTATTTTAATTTGGACTTTGTATTCAAGGTAGAGTTCTGAACATAACATAATTCGTTAGACTCAGGATTTATCAACTTATATAAATTTCCCAAATTTGTAAAGAAAGCCCAGTTGCTGTTATTGATTAAAATCTGAAGGACAATTATGAATTCTGATCCATGTGAAAAGGGGAATTTTGGAAGACCGATATAAATAAATTATCGTACAAAGATGATTGTAATGGTAACAGATGCCATTGGGCCTACCCTTGAAGTTGATGGTGAATTTCTGTTACTATAGTCCTACTACATTGTGTTTGGAGTTTTGCAAAATATAACATGAGCAGATGATCCACAGGAAACAGTAATTAACAAAATAAGATTGTGACACTGTTTTTAGGTACCACTACTTTTTAAAGAGGAGAATGTGTCATTCGCCATAGTTCAGATAACCAGCCTCCATTGAGACTTTCATAACTGAAATATAATGGAAACAGAAGACTTTGATTTCAGTACTTCTCATTTACAAATTAACATCATAGTTGCAACCTGAATTAAAAGATTGTTTATATTAGCAACTAATAATGTGACATGATGGTAGTTCCATTGTACCCAAACAAAACGGTGAATTTCTTACTAAATTCTGTTTTGCTAAAAGGAAGGTGTCAAACAACAGAGAAAGCATGGAACTGGAAATAATTTACTAAACGTTTTCAAGGCAGTGAACTATTAAACTCAGTCTTTTGGGTTTTTACACCATATAGTTTCATAGGTGGTTACTAACATTTTGGAGGAGCCCCCTTATACCTTGAAGACAAAAGTAACATGATTTTCCAGAACACTGATAACTGTGTATAAGATGTGTCATAACCCAGAAGACTACAATCCAAGTGGAATTAAGAAACTATTCATTCTTTACATGATCTATATAATTTTTTAACTTCAGTTGAATTGTTTCAATATAAATAAACACATTTCTTTAAAAACAGTAAATTGTGCAAGAAATGTTTATATATAGGCTCTTGTCCTACATTTGATACTTCCTTGTCTGGAATTTGGTCTGCAGAATAATGTGCAGTTACAGATTAGCATTGGTTTTATTAACTTTTTTTGTACATAATTTCCATCAGTTGAGTTATTTGACATTGAGTTTACGATGTGTGCTAATAAATTTTGAAATATGAGTAGCTTCATTGGATTTGAAAAGTACACTATATTTCAGCATCCCATTGTATTCAGGCATCATCCTATTTTTTTACTAATGTATCGGTCAATAATACAACTTTAAAAAGACATTACTGTACTACATAAAGGCATATGGCTTTGAACTGTCATAGTATTAAAATGCAGTTTTAGTGAACAGCATATTCCTAATGTCTTTTTAAAGTTGGATTATTGACGGATACGTTAGTAAAAGAAATTGAAAAGTACAGTTTGGTTTTTAATTTTAAGAAGGAAAATGACATTAGTTACAAGAAGACTAGAAAGAGCATACTTCATAATGCAGGAGACAGAATTCCCTTCAGTGTTCTTTGCAGTTTAAGTTTACATGCTGCAAATTTATAACCAGTATTTCTTCAGCACAAAATATATTAGATCAGATGAACAGCATTCATATTTTAATGGCATAATAGTGCATAGTATCAGTCTATCACGGTGTCTGTGGAACAGTATATGGAATATGTGAATAAGACTATTTTTGGCCGTTTTTAAGTTGGATTTGACTAACTAATGCAAACATGTTATATCATATTTCATTAAAATTCAAATAGCAGTTTATGATATGGATTTTGTTTATGACCTTGCATGAAGTAAGCTTTTTAGTTAGTTACAGCAGCAAAAAATCCAAATAGATGACTGTCATTATACATACATCTGTAATACTGAATTTCACCAAAATGTAGTGGTTTAGGATATGCATGAAAACGCTCACTTTTGACCATATGTAAAGCAGGATTCCTTATAGAGCAAATTGGCTAAAACTTAATTTCCCAGTAGCTCTTTCTGAATGTCTCCAGTATTGAATTAAAAAAAAAAGATCTTTCCAGTGCTTTAGGACATGATACTGTGTCACAGATGGGCACACAAACATATCTAAACACAAGGTGCATTTCTTTCTTTTCTTCTTTCTTTCTTTAAAGACTACCTAAAAACTCCAGAATTTCCATAAATCATACCCATTTGTTTGATTTGCAGTTATTTTCATGGCTTGTGAGCATTGCTGAGGCATTTTTACAAGGTCACCAGGATATGGGAAGTGTTCTCGCAATGGCAAAAGACTTTCTAGAATTACATCACCAGCTACTAAATGACTTACAAGTAAGTCAATATGCATAATAGTTTTTATGGTCTAAATATAAAACTCTTCATATTAGAGTATACAGCAACTGCCACATAAACTATGCTTTTCCAATTTTTTAAACAGAAAAAGGGAGTAGAAATCAACACACTTCTCTTAACCCTTCCTCCTATTCTGGAATTCTTGGATGATGAACAACGAGAAGATGTGGATCAGAAGGTGGATGCTCTTCACTCTCATTGGTTGAATCTCAAATCTTTGCTTGAATCAAGAATTGACCTGGCTGTCATTTATGTAAAATTCCACTCACTAGCAGTGCAGTTGGCCAATGAATTTGATGCTGCAGAAGAAGAGTTTAAGAAAAGCTCTGATGGTGTTAGTGAAGACACAATCAGGCACGTTGAACAGAAGTGGTTGTCAATCCAGCAACTCTACAGCCAGCTTACAAATGTTGGAAAGAATTTCACTGAAGATGCCTCAAAGGTATGTTAGTTGATTACATTTATACGTGGTTCTGTATACACTACTATTTCTAAACAGTGTATATTTATTACTTTTTAGCAAGAATTAATGGCGAAAACTATGTGGGTTATTTTGTGACAGTGTCAATATCTAGACTAAGTAGTGGTGGCCATGCCATAGCTCGAGCGGTTAGTCGCTAGCTTCCCACTGCGGCGGCCCGGGTTCAATCCCGGGTCTGGTCAAGTGGGATTTGTGGTGGACAGAGTGGCACTGTAGCAGGTTTTCTCCAAGTACTTCAGTTTCCCGTGCCAATTTTCATTCCACCAAAATTCTCCATCATCATAATCACCTGGGGCAGGCTACAATAGGCCAATCAGTGGCTGCTGTGCCGAGTAGACCCAGTTGGACTCCACCCCCCACTGAGCAAATTAAAAAGAAATTATCTGTAATATCAAACATTGTTATAAAGTAAAGGAATTGGGTAATTTATCAAAAAATATATTAGACTAGGGCCATCAGAAATATATGCTAAATTTGATATGGAACCAGAGGAAAATGTGGTTTGGTATTTAATTCCTTGCAACTGTCAAGTCTGCTGTGAAAGTAAATTCCACATGGATGGTTATGTTTATGGGAGTCTAATTTGGAACCCTGGCCATGCTCCAATTTCTATTTCTTTTCCAGGTCGGGGACCCATATCTAGATATCAAGCGTGCAAGCTTATGTGTGGAGACTCTCTTAGAACACTTCGGCAACCGGCAGTTTCTGATCTCAGACTCATGGCAGACATGGCAGATGAACATCACAGTTGAGAGAGAGTTCAAAGTGCAGTGGGAGATGAATGTCACTGAAAGCACTCGGGTAAGTCTGAATGGACTCAGGCTAGTTCTGGTGCTCATTTGATGGTATATTTGCTAAACATAAAGTTTTAAGCTGTCATGGGCCTTGGGACTTCAAGCATTTAAATTCTTGACTCTGTTATTTCTCCAAAGATATTATTTAATTACCACAAAGGTGTGAGGTATGAGAACAGTGGCCAATGTTGATCCTAATGTGCTGCAGATCTGTATTGAATTTATCTGAAACAAAGTCTGGTACTAGTTGAGTATAGAGCTGAGATAGTGCAGTCAGTATACTGACTAGCTACAAGCTTGATGACGGGTCGGAGTTCAAGTCCCAGTAGGGTCAAGAATTTTCTCTTCTCCATGTTATCCAGACCAGCTCTGGGGTCCACCCAAAGTCCAATCCAATGGGTATCAGGGCTTCTCCTTGGGGGTAAAGTGTCAGGGCCGTAAAGTTGACCGCTCATCTCCAGTCAAGAAAATGTGGTTCTGTACGTCCAGCCCCCATATGCCTTCATGGCATGAGCTTAATTAGCTAAGCACAAGGACAGCTCTTACTTTTACTAGCTGAGTATGGCAACATACTTTGAGACTTGGCCTAGGCTCTGGCTGGATCAGGCAAGACTCTAAAAGCCCTTCTTATCGCTGGGAAAAAGAAAGATAAAAGAATATCCAGACTTAAAACTACATATATGTTCTAGACTGTTGACTGGGTATCCAAACTGGATGAACAGTTATACCCGGTGCTGACAAGCGACACAAAATCTTCAAAAGCAATTGCCAGAGAATTAGAAGAGAAACTGCAGATTGTCTTGCCAGAAGTTAGGAGAGCTCAGGCAGAAATTGAACTAAGAATTAAGGCTACAGAAAATCTTGCGCAGAGAGGTGAGTGTACATATTCTTTTTTCTTAGATTTTATTTAGATTTCTGCTAAAACTGGCTCTGAAGCTGAAAACATTTCTACGTTGTTATTTATCAATAATTTATTATTTTTTATTTTTTCTTTCTCATGTGACCCTGAATTCAAGTTTCCCTTATATTGCAGTCAATACAGAATTTTATCTGGACAGCAGCACTAATTGTGAAATATCTCTATTTTAAGAATAAGTTTTAAAGAGCCACACATGCTTCAGAGTCAGTTTTGTTTGTGTACAGTAAGTTTCAGTAGCTTCTTTTCCATAACAAAGTAAAGATTTTCAGTATGTTTACAAACTCCAGGACATGGAAAGTGAAAAATATGCAGGTACAGTTATACTTAGGCAGCATATGTGGCTTTGCAGCATGTTCACACTGTACAGAACATGGAAAATGGAAAACTGTGGGCATGATAATACCCCATGCTTCACTCTTGACATTACTGTACCACTGCATTCATACTCATCAGAGAGTCAGTTGTAACTGTTGCTAATGCTAATGCTAATGCTGATAGTAATAATAATATATTTTCAGGAGATACTCATGGACAGAAAGAAGCAATTGTGGCTAGATTAATGGAATTACACAACAAATTACAAGTTATTATAACAGACTATCAGATACTGCTGCAAATGTTGATCTCTTTCTTCAAGAACTTGGCTGAAGTAAGTGTGCCTTATAATTTTAAAATATCATAGACAGAGCTCTTATGACCTGAGTAAATGACACAAGATAATGTGCTTTCTGAATTGTCTGTGGAACTATTGCACAGGACCTTAAAAATAAAGTAGGCCAGACTTTTTCAAGAACATGAAATTATGAATCAGAAATGGTTATGAAAGTGAAAATGAATGCTGGTCTTCCCAAGAAATTAAGTAGTGACTATAGTTAGGAAATTTATGGAGTAACTGAAATTTTTAAAAATCCTAAATTTACTTCCAAATGGATATCATTTTATGCCTTATATAACTACAAGACTTAATTTTGCGATTCTAGACCATAAGTTCATTTGGTCTTCTCCTCTTAAATAATTTTAAGACTTCTGCAGCTATTTGAAGCATTATAATTTAAAGGTTTCTAAGTACATATTCATACCCGCTTGTAACAAATGTTAACTTGGTTGGTCAGTAACACAAACATGTTACTTGTCACTGTCAGGCAGTTGTTTGTATATTGGTGTACAGAAGATGAATAAAACTATAAGTCAGAAATGCTTCAACTGTAGACAGCATTATGGAATTAGCACATTTTCTCAGTTTGGAAAATATGAAGTCAGGAGAGTAGATCTTGCTTTGCTAAAGGCAAAATTATTCCCCTTGCCTGGAATTTCTTAAGGATATTGCAGTCATTATAGGAGCGGAGTTATATGATTATAAGAGGCTTACACAGTGTACACAGAATGATTCCATGGTTCCTGAAGTTTTCTTTACATCCCCATCCCTTGTTGGTTAGAGTAAAGATTAAACTTGGAAGAAAGAAGATTGTGTCTTGCGTTTTTCTTGTGTCCTTAATGATAATGTTTGCCAGTTCCGTACGACTTGCCAACACATTTAAAATTTATTAAAATATGTTTATCTTACCAATTTATAAATTTTGTGTTGTCCATTCATTCCCCCTCCCCCATATTCTTACCTCAGAACTCTCATCACATTGCATATGCCAGATGAAACTGCATGAAATTTACCCTGAGTTCATGCTTTCACATTTCCAGATTCAGGGCATATTGCAGTCTCCTTTTCAATCTGTCACTTCTCTTTTATGATCAGTTGATCAGAATCTTGACTGGCAGTCTCTCATGTTTATCATTCCATTCCTCTCTTGAGGATTTTCTGTCTTATTAGCCTTTTTATGCCCAGATCATCTAAAGCTGTTGATTATTTAAACTGTAAATTTTCAGATCTTGAATTTTTTGTTTATGATGCCTCTGTGGTGGAGAATCAGTTACTAATCTCTCTGTAATGTGTCAGTTCTTATCCTTTCGTACACCTCTGTTCTCGAGTTTGAAAGAAATAGTGTTTGGTCTTTGTAATATTTCTTAGTGATTTATGTGTGTCCATTCATATGACTGCCCTTGACAGTTGTGAATGTTATGCATTGACCTTTCTAGATAGCACAGATGTGAAGTGAAATGTATTGTGGGTCAGCTCAAATTGATAGGAGGAGCAACCAGTTCCACCTGACTGCATGTTCATAAGATATATCTCTCTGTAGATATTAAATGGATAATTCTGTAAAACATGCCATGAACTCCATAGCAGTTGGGACTTTCTCATCTTGATGCATTTAAGTTTGCCATCAAGAATATGAGTGTGGCTGATGTGCAGACTTGTGAGATGGAACAGCAGTTGCATCATTCAGTGTATGGTGCTTATTGTTTGTTTTCATGTGGTGGTAGCAATTGATGAATCATTTTGATATTTGTATAATGACATGTTACAAACACATCTGTTAGTAGCACAGATATGTTAGTACTTACAAGATCCAATCATTCTGAGGCATAAAGTTCATCATAACAATTGCAAACAAGTTATAACATATTTAACTTATACATAAAATGAATGGATGCATTCCTCTTTTATTAATTAAATGTATATAAAGCATGAAATCCATTCAAACACAACTTTTATTGTAAAATATAATCTCTCTCTCTCTCTCTCTCTCTATATATATATATATATACACACACACACACACGCACGTGGTAGAGCTATTAAGTTCGTGGTCTGCCAACGTTGATATATCTGTCGAAAACATTGCTGAAATATATTGACAGTAAATTCCCATACGACGCTTTGCGGCCATTCCACGAACTTATTGACAGTGGTAGTATATGTAAAAGAAGCCGGGATAGCTCAGTAGGTATAGCAACTGGCTACATCCTGGATGACTGGGGTGTTGGAGTTCGAGTCCCAATAAGGTCAAGAATTTTCTCTTCTCCAAACTGTCCAGACCAGATCTGGGGTCCACCCAACCTCCAGTCCAGTGGGTACTGGGGGCTCTTTCCCCAGTGGTAAAGGCCGGGGCATGAAGCTGACCACTCACCTCCAGCTAATGCCAAGATCTCTTTCATATTGTATGCTCAAAATGTGATATTTTTGTATATATATTTTTCTGTACACTTGATGCAGTAATTGCTCTTTCCTTCATATTTTACTCAAATTTTATTTTTAACTTTTAAGTATATGCATATAATCTGTATTGCAGCTTGAGAAAACAATTGAGAATTTACAGTCACAATATCAGTTCACCAGACTTCCAAGTGCAGTTTCAGAAGTTGAACTGCTCTTAAAAGAACATGAAGCATCTCGACAAGCTGTTCTCGAGTTATTCAAGTTCACTCAAAACGAGAGTGAACAAATCATTACAAGGATATGGCAGCAGGTAAAGTCCCTTGCATGTCACTGCATTACATTGAATTAGCTATTTGTATTATTACTTTCAGTATTCAAGCTTAGACATGAAATAATACTCAAGAGCATTTATGGTTCTACTTCTGTGGCACTCTGGCCAGGGGTGTAGCAGATGTCAGATATAATGTTTATGTTACTTCTTCAGGAGCCTCATACCACTGCTCAGCATGATATTCAGAGAGTGACTGTTCTCCTAGAAGAGAAACGTAATGCCTGGGAGCTGGCATGGATGGAACGCAAAATACAACTGGAACAGCACCAGCAGCTGTGTCAGTTTGATTCAGATCTTCATTTAATTAATTCCTCTCTTAATGACCTCAGCGCGCAGCTGTCTGCTATTCGAGGCCAGTATGGGGAGTCTTTGGCAGGTGCCAAAGCCACATCTCTAGCTTTTGTGTACTTCGAAAAAACCATTGAGGTTAGTAATGAGGTAACATAATTGATGTTGGATTTCAGATTCTCACAGCATTGATTATGAAGAGGTTTATCTTCTGGGATGTAATGCCATGTAGTCCATAGAAAAATCAACCAGTGTTCTGGAGGGAAATATCATCTCACTGCTTGCTGCCTGCTTCATGCTGGTTTCTTGCTAGGCTTACTCTTTAACCATGGAATGTTCGTCTGTAATGTCACTTGACTTTCACTGGCCTACCTGGTGTTATACTGCAGCAGGTAGATTCTAACTTTATTGAGTTTGTGAGGTATGTCAGTAATTCTCCTGTTTCTCATAATTCACAAACTGTGTAACTCTCCCCAGGGTGAGAGGAGCCCCATGATCAGCAGTCTATGCTAGAATTAGAAATCATGTGCTACATAGAGTGCCTGAAAAATATCTATTTCCTTCTAGTAAATCAGCCAAAATTTCTGTTGTTACCAGCTGCTGCAGCTTCGTATCCAGACATTTGTTAGTACAGCTAATCAGATGCTGTCATCAGAGCATGTCTCTTCACAACACATAGAACGTGAGCTGAAGATGCTTCAGACACGCTGGACTGCATTTCACAGCCAAGTTGTGGAGAGTCGACGCCTCATTGATCTTAGCATAAAATACTTCCAGTTAGTTGAAGAGGTAAGATAACAAACTGTAACAGCTTAAAAACAATTTCTTGCATCATTGACTTTTGTAATAATATTCCCGAAATATTTATATGCATCATCATATATACATGGAATGGTGTGTCGTTTTTATCTTTGCACTTAGGCTGAAGAATGGTTCCGGGAAGGTAGTAAATTATTACTCACTATTGCAAGGAAGTCTACAACAGTGAAATTACCAGAAGAAGCTACACAGTTGTTGAATGAAGTTGAAACCTTCCTTAAGCCAGGAGAAACACGGCAAGATGAGCGAATCAGACAGATATCTAGGTTAGCTGTTGATCTATACGGTGAGTAAACTTCATAGGCCTTGAAGCAAGTTCTGTTTTGATTGTCACATAGTAAATTGTGTACTGATGTTCATAATTAAGAAAGACATATATGTCCATTCATGAATTATTTTGTCTTTTTCCACTACAACTGTTAATTTTTAAATTTGAATCTTTACATAATGTAAACATTATTTCTATTTTTGAAATTGTCCATCATCTAGAGTATTTTTTAAAAATGGATCTAATCTTATGATTATGTGTAAGGAGGAAGGGTCCCTATTTAGTTGGACCTCTTAGAATGAAATAGTCTTCATGTACAATGCCCAAAATAACAAGTCATGTTTATCGTTACACTTCATCATCAGAAACACAGACATGGTTTTCCACAGTATCTCATAAGCTTTATGAATATATTATGCACAGGAGTACTGGGGCTGTTGACACAACACCGAAGTGGATGGATTCTAATTTTAATAAACTATAGATTAAAATACATATAATATAACAGTGGTTTAATAATTGTATTTGTCTCACTGCCATGGTCCATGGACCATTGACGAGTGGTTTGTGACAAAATTAAGAAATCAAACATTTATTACTGAATTGCAAGATTAAATGGATCTATTTTTACAATAAAAAATTTCTTGGTAAGTTTCTAGTGTGAGATGATAAAATATAAAAATAGATTATAGTAGTTGTTTACATTGTTAAAAAGTTTAAAATAGGGGGGAAGACATGTAATATGGTGCTGGTTACATGTGTCATATGGAAGGTGTATATGTACAGTTGAGTGAAAAGAGCACTGTGGTATCTGTTGATAGTTTTTAATATTATTGGTGCCTCTGTATTCCTCTAGAAATTCCTTGAAGTAGTGTATGTATAATAGGCACTAGGGGGTGGAACAGGTGTGTTGTACTATGTTGGTGAAGAATCTTATGTATAATAGACACAAAATAGTATATGTGTAAGTAGTAGTTGGTGTCTGGTGGAAGTAATGAGTTCTGGATGTGTGGTTGAGTATCAGTTGTGTTTTAGAAGTTGTTTGTTATGGAAGTTCTTTCATGGGTGTAGATTACTATGTAGTAGAATTCTTAATTATTGTTGGAACTGTGAGGTTGGTTATTGACTGCTGTGATGTGTCCAGGATGTAGCTGGTTGGAGTGTTGGGAGGTTACTCCAAGCAACCATCATAATTTATTTTTACATTTTATCACTTAACATATGAAATTTATTATGACATTTTATTTTGAAAAAAAAAAGTATCCATTTAACCCTACTATTCAATAAGGGTGTGTTTTATTTATTTAATTGTTTATAAACCATCTGTTGATGGTCCCATGCAACCAAAACATGTAGTGGTGAATGAAGTAATAACATCGATTAAACCATTGATATATTGTAAAAATTTTAGTCAATTTTAATAAATCATAACCAACCTCCTTCGGTGTTTTGTCATCGGCCCCAGTACCTCATTGTTCTAACACAATAGGATGCAAAAATAGAAATAATATGTTATGTGTATGAATAGGTGAAGAGCAATCGAAACAAGTAACACTAGTACTGAATGAAAACCGGGAAATGATGGACTCATTTACTGTGATCAGTCTGGAACTCAGTACATTGGCTAAAAATCTGAAGGCTGCCGAGGAGCAACGTGAACAGCAGAAGAAGGTATGTAATATGTTCACAAAGGCAGATGTGAGAGCACTGAATTATATAAGAAATTTCTCCTCACATTACATAGATGTTGCTGGTGAGGTCCATAGGTTTGCCAACTTCCTGAAAAAGGAGAAATATATAACTCAGTGAAATGAGTATCCCAGCTATCTGACCCAAATTGTTTTTATGTCATAAGATTACTACATAAATATTGTGACATGTTGAGCTATGGATCACCCCTACCTCCCCAGCGGTACGTGGCGGTAACGTAACGCGTTACTACGGTAATAGGCGAGTTCCCGCCCCGCCACTCCCCTCCGCAGTGACGTAACGCGCAACGCTACGTACCCGTAATCAACTTCCTACTGTGACGTGGCACTCATTACGCAACCGGCAAGCACTGCAGCTATATAAGTGAGCTGCACAGCTGGTACCAGGGAGTTCTACTGTAGCAGTCGGCGACTTCAGTTGTACTGTGACAGCCGCCGAGTTATAACGTGGCCATCGCCGAAGACGGTTCTGAGTTATAAAGTAACAGTCGCCGAGCGTGTTATCAACAGTTCTCCAGTTAGCCGACTACTGTTGGAGTAAAGCAGCCGTCGCGGAAAGAAGATCCGGACGTGTGTGTGATTGTGTAATTGGGAGCGTGTGATACAGTGATACAAAGCTCCC